CTAGCTGCTCAATGGGCTGACTGGAAAGAGAAGATTGGTACTTGAGTTAATCAGAGTAGGATACACAAACAAAAAGAATGGATGCAAAATATTCTGTGGGAAAGGAATCAAAGCTCAGACATAGAAAAACAAGAAACTCTCTAATGTATTTAGAAAGTCAGGATTATCTACCAAGAAAATAAAACCATTCACTTTTCCTTCGCTTTCCTTCCCACATGATTGCCCTTCCCCGCTAGAGTAGGCTAGATTTTGTTTTGCCAATGACCCTTTGTCGAGGCAGGCTAAGGAAAGCCTCAGTAGTGACTCATGGACAACAGTAAAGAAGCTCTGTTCAGAATGACGTGCTTTTAAACCAGAAGGATATGATTTCTGCTTGTTTACTTATTACTTTCGCCCTTGTTTTCTTGGTGCAGGATGCAATAGTCCTGGGCTGCCCTCACACAGTATTAACACACTTCTAGGAAATAGCATGAATACTGCCACATATAATAACCAAGGCTAGCTGTGATCTCTGTACCGTGAAGAGGTTATAGGACTCTTCAGTATACAGTACAGTTTTGTTTCTAGTATGAAGAGAAAGGAAGAAGGATTAGACAATGAAAGGAATGCAAGAATTAAGGGAAAAACATTCTGCTGGTAAAAAAAAAAAAAATGTTGCGAGGCAGATTTACTGTAAAAAAGGGTGGGAGAGTTAACTTCTCAAGGATGACTGATTTTCAGTTTCATCTAGCTTTAGAATTACACTTGGAATCTTTTACAATGAATTGGCTCAGCTTTTTTGAATTAAACAGAAACAAATATAAACATTTATTTTTCTGCTCATTAAACAGAACAGATTCCAATCCTACTGCTATGACGACGTGCATTGTAGCTGAGCTTAAATTAAAAAAAAAAAAAAAAAAACACACAAAATCCTAGCAAGCCCATTTATAACCCCAGGAGCTAAGCTGCAATCAACCATGCAAATAAAATGTAAACAATTGTGAGCTACATTCTAATTTCTGAATGTCACACTGTAAATCCATTGTTTTGTGACCGCCTATGTACATAGATATGAGTGACATCAGCTAAGCAGCTTGCCCAAAGTAAAATGAGCAGAACTCCTTGACCTCCTACTCTAAAAAAAACAGACTCCTTCCTGGAGAGCTAAATGAATTACTCTGCTAGTTCAAGTAGTGGAATAAATATATAAAATAAAGGACTCAGTAGAGAAGCTTTTGCATAAGGACACGTGCGTTTAATCAACAGGAAACAATTTTTTCCCCATGCATCTCATTTTCTTGGTGCAAGATGCTACAGTCCTAGAATCAATTCCATGAATAGGTATTACTAGTACAGATGGATATAAACCAGCCCATTACTTTTATTTGAAATATCTCAAGTTTCAAAATATACAGGCCAATTACCATATTTACCCAAATCCAAGACAACTCTGAATTTAAGACAACCCCCTGATATTTACATTTTATACATGGAAAATGTATAAATTTGTTATACTTTTCCATGTACAGAATCTAATTATTGGAGGGTTGTTTTGCACACCACACCACTGCAATGGGGAAAGCAGTGGTAGGTGGTGGGAGAGATGGTAGGGGAACCAGAAGTGGAGCAGGCAGTGAGGGAGTCAAACAGCTTGCCACCCCATACCTTGCCCCCTGCGGCCTGTCCTCTTGCACCACCTGCCCGTCTACTGCCTGCCCCTAGAGTACCTGCACTCCTTTCCCCCTTGCTACTTAACGCCCCCCATGCTTGCACTCCATGTGTCTTCCCCTCAGTGACTACACAGTCACTGCCTCCCCTGCAGCCTCTGTCATCCCTCCTGACCTACCGCCACTGGCTCTGCTAACTCTCCAGCTCTGTCAGGCAACAGGTGCAGCTTGGACCCTGACCCCAGGTTGTGGCCAGAGTGGCAGCAACCTCCGCTCCCCCTCCACTGCCTTGTATTTGAATCCAAAACAAGGACCACTGATGTTAAATGGAGGGGAGGGGGGATTTTTGTCTTGGATTTGAGTAAATACAGTAGGGATTTTTTGTGGCATTTTTTTTAAGTAAGGAGGAAAAAGGGTCTGTCTATACTGGTTTCATGCCACTCACGACTGTCACCAAAAATTAAGCTCTGCCCACCCATCCAGTCCTATTCCAAGAGCTCCAATGCATTCCAATACAATTCATTCATAATCAGGCTGCTGTCAGTCTGCTTCTAATGACATCTTTTACTCAGATGTTTTTAAGACTCTTCAATTGAAGATGCCTTCCCAATCTTATTTGATGATGGAATTAAAAGAATGATTCTGAGAAACCTTAGCTGGTTCTAACAAAACTCTGATCCTTACCTCCATGAGATGAGCAAGATTTGGAAAAAAAAAAGATTTAGGAGAAATAAAGCCACAGAAATGTAGTCTGTGACTGCAGTCACAAAAATCTAATTTCCATTTAAATAAAGCCCAAGTATATCTCAGACAACTGGATATGTATTAACAGAAAAACACAATAAGTAGCCCAACTTCTTTGAGACTAGGAAAAAAATCCCAACATACTTCTTCATCATATCTCACGTTTTTGCAGCCTTCCATGCCTGTATTCCTACTTCCATCAGGACAGATTGCTGTAATGTTGAAATACAGATCTTTGATCTGGTTATCCACCTGGATTTTCACTTCAGAGATCAGTTTCTACAATAATAATAATAATAATAATAATAATAATAATAATAATAATAATAATAATGAAAGACTTATTTATATTGCATTTTCGCATATCTAATGCCACCAGCATGCTTGACTCAATAGATTTAAAAACGAAGAAAGTGTGTCTGACTGAAAAAAAGGAATGAATTGGAGCATTGCTTTGCATATAAAGACTCAATTATATTTCACACAAGCACAGAGCTAGTAACTCTGAAAAAAGATTAGGATATCTGTATATAGGTTTCCAGCTGTTTTTACATGGTTTTGTGACTGTATTTCTGATCATTTGAGAACCTGTTGTAATGATTATGTATAATAAAAACAGGTTATTGTTTTAGTGACAATTTCATTATTTAACACCACGCTAAATAAAAGGTTCCAATTGGCTTGACAGTTTCATTTATGACATCTCACATTTGTTCAGGATGCTTGTTTCCTATAAATAAGCCTCAGGATGATTTAAAAGCTACTGGAATTAGTCTTACCAATTTATTCAGGATAGTTAGTACTTTGTCAAGTAGCCTGGCTGACAAATATGATAGTTAGGACTTGTCAATGCTACTGTAATATAAAATAATAAAGACTAACAACTTAGTAAGACATTGGGGTAATCTCAATATTTCACATGATAATTTTAAAAATAATAGTCCTTTTTTTTGGTCTTTTACAGACATATTAAAGCAGATTGCTAATATTTGTAAGCTGTTCAAAAAGATCTCACATTTTAATAGGTTTTAAAATTTAACTTAATGGGACATTTTCACTGTTACCAAAAGAAACTTAATTACATGCATTTGAAAACATGTTTATCTTAGTAACTTTGAACATCAGTGACTCATTTTAGATGTTTCTGGCCAGGGATTTTCAACCAGGGTTTTCCATAAATAAACCAATAGGTTTTCCTACTTAGAACGAAAGTGCATAAGGCCCACTGTAATCAACACTAAATTCATTTTCTTAGGTTAATACATTTGGTTTCATGAAAGCAAAACGTGCAAGCCCAGTTCACAGTGTATTTGTGTGAAAAAATGCTAGAAACATGAAACAACTGGAAGTCTCCAACTCAAAAACATCAGAGTGGGAAGAAAGAAAAGGAAAAGAGAATTTGGAAAATGAAAGCTGGAAAAGATGAAAGAGTGAGTGGAGAGAGCAGGGAAGTCCCAAAGAAACTCCTATAAATAAAATGGTTACATTGTGAATTTTCACTTCTTTTCACTACAAATAATCTTGGGATATCTAGACACTGGAGTTATATTTATAATGGAAAATACAAATCTGATGTGCTTGCAGATCTGAAATAGCTTTGCAAGGAATATTCCATTCATCATGTTGAATACTAAAATACTGTGGCCTTAATGAAATACTACTTAGTGAAGACCTTGGAAATTTTCTCAAAATAGGTATTTTTACTTTGACAGACAACACAAAGTAAAGGTGAAATCTAATGAAATAAATTGATTTGAATCAATTCAACATGCCCTCATGTGTCTTTGGCTACTCCACAGTGCCTGCTTTCAGGACCCGCAAATAATGCATGTGTTGAAATGCCACACTAACTGATGAGAGATGGGGACCCTGGCTCTTCATCATGACAGAAGTGCAGAATTCCCCTCTGCACAACTTTAAAATAGTTACCCTTGTTTAGGAAAACCTACTTTTACTTATGGCACCAGTAACTTACTGGTTTTAGTTACGGCACCAGTAAACTAAGAATCTAACCATTACCAGGTCGTATCACTTAGAATGCTCACAAGGTATGGATCTTGGGCTAGGAATTTCAAAGGAGGCAATATACAACAACCCATGCTTAACTCTTTTTGGTACCCTAGAATATCCCAACTTTAAACCAAACATAGGAATAAGTATCAAAAATCCTTTGCAGAAAAAAACATACCTGATAGGCTTCGATCACTAAATCATTTAGATTAGCTGCTTGTGATTCTATCTGTTTTGCAACAGTACCAGGCAACAGAGGCAAAAGATCCTATGGAAAATTAAAAAAAAAAAATCATGAATGGTTACAGTCTTTATATACACATTGCACTTTGATGAAAGGACTAAATTTCAATTCCAAATTTTAACATACCTTATACCAATCAAACTGGTGTCCTTGAACTGCAAAGATAACATTAATGTTATTTTCTATCAGTTTTTCAGAAAGTTGTCCAAGAGATGGATGCTCCTGAAAAATACAATAGACCACAGAAGACTATGTTTTTGAGAGAAACCCATGTTCATAATACAGTGAGCAATAATGAATGGTTACAAATGCTACAATAAGTGATATGGGCAGAGCGAATCCCACTTCAGATGCATTTGGGCTCCATGTGGACAAACTCAGAATAATTTTAATAGCAATATCTATCAAGGCTGTACGATTGCCTGGTGCTTCTTTATGCTACGCGCAAGGACAGAAAGGACAAAGAGTCCATGACCCCTTCCTCAATTCCCTTTCACCTTGAACCCTCCCTTTGCTGAAGACACTGAAAGCAGAGATAAAGAGCATATTGTAGGTTCTGCTCTGGCAATATTGTTGTGGAGAACTCTATAGTTACTGGAAAGTAACCGCCTTGTTTTGGACAGTCTCTCTATGCCTCTTCATGCATAGTGACACAAGCAGCATCTTCTCAGAATGGTGGGAAGAGGCACATTAAATACACCAACAAAATAAAAATCCTGTAGTACTGCTCTCCCAAACTTGGTACCTGATTTAGCTGTCAACCAGAAGATAATAGTTAAGAAGCAGGTGCCTTGCACATCTCAACTTTAAGTACAGTTCAGAACTAGGCCAGTGATGTTGCCTGTGGATCAAATCTTGAAAGGCAAAGACTTTAAATGGAAGAGGGACACCAGCCAGCTGGTAACAGTTACATAAAATGCTTTAACCATGTTGACAGTCTTGTGATAAAATACTCTGGTTCTTACAGCAGAAAGATTTAGTCACAAATTTGTAATATTTAGTTCTGTCACTACAACGCTGCAGACCTCAGGTAAGTTCAGAGTCTTTATCACTTTCTGTCCTTGTGTGGAATATGGTTTGGAGAAGAAAAAGGGCAAGTTTATGGATTTGTTTTAATGAAACCCAGAAAGCATCTTGGAATTTTTTTTTACACAAGGGAATGGTTCCAACTTGTCTTTACGGAAGAAAGGATACAAGAATTCTGCCCACAGGGCCCAAAGCTTGCCCACTCTTCTGGTCCAGGTGATGAATAATATTGCTGTCAAATGTATCTTGATTTTTGCAAGCGACAGTCCAGAACATTTGCAGCAAAGGATCAAGTAAAAAATTATTCATAGGTCTTGGACCAGACCAAGGCCAAGGCCATGTTCGGCAGCCCAAGTAGAGAATCTTTGCTATTTGTAAGAGTAAAGACAGATTCTAAACCAGTCCTGGCTCCACAGGGTGTAAATAGGAGATGATAAAAGTATTGGCCAGACTGTGATTAGTTTGTCCACTGCCAGTCATGCGCTACTGCCTAGTACAGGAAACTGGTGGGGGTCTCCCTAGGATACTGTTCAGACTAAATGGGAGAGGGTTCCCTGCTCAGTCAGGGAAAGGAGGAAGATCATGACAATGGCAAGGAAAACTTCATCTTTGGATACAATGACATGGTTAGTTACAGAACTAATGCTGGAGCTGCTGCTGCCTGCTCCAGAGGTGAGGCAGAGTAAAGGTAGTTTCTTTCAAAGATGCATCTTGATACTGGATATGGCTCATTGGGCCAGCATCAGTTTTAGTACTGATTCTGGTCATGTTGTCTACATGTTTTGCAATATTCTGGTCTACTTTGTTTGCCAGTACTTTAGCCTTCTTTGGCTCCAGCACCTTGCTCCCATACTTTGATATCTAAAGAAGTGGAAGATCCATCTTTGGAAGGAATCTTGTGATCCTCCTCTGGGATAAATCTGTTGCACTCTGGGCTGTACTTGTGCTTGATATATGCTGCTCTGTGTTTGACATGGATAGCATGGATTCCAGGTCTCTGACCAGAATTTCTGCTGATGCGCTGGGTGCCAATGCCACTGTTGTCAATGTCAGATTTTAGCAAAGAAACGCATGGTCTGGGCATTCTTCTGGGCTTCTCCTTGCAGAAGCTATAGGTATAGTACCTGGGCACTCCTTGTCAAGTTGTGCTGATATCTGTTTTGTTGGATGTTTCTTTTCCAGAACCAGACACTACGGTCACTGTCTCAATTTTTGAGTGTGTTATCAGAAAGACTGGCAGATAAAGCACTTCTCCAAGGAAGAAAAGACATGTGCTCACAGCAAAATGGACTGTGCTTTGGTTTACTATTCTGCTGAGAAAGTGTCTCATTTCACTGTACAAAGAGATTCCTCCATATCTTTGATTGCAGTGAAAAATATATTAAAATGCTAGAGAAGTGAAAAAAATCTTTATAAAAAGGGATAATGGATGAGTTGGAAGCTGAAGATGCAATAACAGGTCAGATGTTAACCAAGTTCAGTCTCACCTATAAAAGCAAGGGATTGGGAGTAAGGGGGGGGACAGGACTGTTGGCTTGCAGCTGCTACATCTTTTATGCCATTCACAAGAGCACAGGGAGACAGAGTACATGCATAGCCTGAATTGAAATTGCTATTCAAAAGATTAGAACTTACGAGTATGGAGAGCAAAGGACCCATGGGGTCTACTGTATCTCAAGACAGACAGGCATACAGAATTATTGCAATTAGATTTCTGGATGTTTCAGAAAAATGAAATTCAATGCATACTATTAATGGGTAAGCATAAACAGTTGGTCAGAGCTGATTTCTGCCTGTGACTATGCCTCTCATTTTGCCTTTTTTTGTGCACTCCCCTTCTTTTGTTCATTTGTATGATCCCCAACACGATACTCAAGGCAATGGTGGTAGGATGTTTATTTGCACTGGGGCATTCATTGGTGGTTCAGCAGGAACAGACTTTATAACAGGCCATGGAAGAAAAAAGGTGCTGGTTGTGCCAGTATTGTTAAAGTCATCGGTAACACTGTAAATCTCCTATACCTTCCTGTCTGAAAGAATACTGCAGGTGCACAAAAAGAAGGGAGGCTGCTCACTAAATAGGAGGAAGTAAGAATAGATTATACAGCTCATCCCTTCTGTGCCTTTTCCTTCAGTCCGCATCACTGCTTCCCCTTCCTCCCCCACTTCCCCTCCCACACACATACCCTGGTCATGGGGTGGCCGTTTACACTGAGGAACACAGACTTACTAACCTGCTGGTTCAGTACATAAACTGGATAAGACAGGGAAAATAGCTTTTAATACATATTTGCAGTGAACAGAAAAGCATTATTTTAACATTTAATATTCACTGTTCTGCTATCTTAGAACTTAACCAATATCTATTGAAATCAGTTATAAGTCACCAACTGACTTTAGTCAACATTTTACTTCAGAAAGGAAATGCAATGGTGTTATTGATTGCAGACTTTAAACTTTATCAGATGCGTAGTTTCAGTGCTCTTAGTTCAGACTGCTTTATTTCTTTAGTGTTATTAGTTTCTGCATAGTAAGTCTGATTCTCTTGCATTTATGTTGTTGAAATCTGTGAGCATGGTATAACCTATTATGCCTGTGGTTTTTTGTTTGGTTGTTTAACTAAAATCTCAAATATTTGAAACAGAACATTTAAGGTTAAAAATCCAAATACACTACAAGGCACTTCTTCAAAACCCTACCTGTACTTTAAAAAAAAATCATGTTGTAAAAATTGGGAAAGTCTGCGTACAATAGGTGTCTCACAGAATCACACCAACACAAAAAGTAGGTCTAGAAGGGACCTCTGGAGATCATTTACGCCAGGTACAGACATTATACTTTTACCAGTGTAAGCGATCAGAAACTGGTCTATAACCATAAGAGAACACAAGTTTGGCACACAGAGCAGTTAAAAAACAGTGGAACCCAGTCTAAACTTTGCTCCTCCCCCACACCAAAGGGTGAATGTGTGTTCTGTTTGCTATGGGTATTAAACAATACTGCTTACAAAAAAACCACATAACTTAGATTGATTCTACCTCAGGCTTTTTGAATAGCTGTACCTAGCCCTTGTCCAACTCCCTGCCTGAAGCAGGATCATCTCTATCCAAACCACTGCATACAAATCCTTGTCTAACTTCTTATTAAAACTATACAGTCAACCCTGCCATACAACCACAAGATACAGCACTAACTTGCCAGAGGTAGGTTGGAACCAGCCAAACATAGATGTGAATTTCTACGGAAATGGGAGAAGAAAGGGGAAGACAAGTGAAGCTGTCATTAACTAGGAGAATTTGGGAAAGACTGGGAGACAGACTAGCAACATAGTTTTAACGGAGCATACTTATAACAGCAGTGTGAAGGTCAGTGAACCGGGACGAGGGGAGATGCGGTAGTAGGCATTATGTGCTTGGAGAGTGATGCAGTACTAACATTTCTTGGGTAGGCAAGGTATGGAGTTTGTGGCTGCAGTTTAGCTAGTAGCCTAGACACCACAAACTTTCAAACACAGATAGACTGATGAGTGTTTGCAACTAATGGGAAATCTCTTAATGAGCTCACAATTATCACGATTCTGGCTTTAGGGCCAGCTGTCATACACACTTAAAGCCCAGTGAAGTCAAAAAATAACATATATAAGTATGCCCTATAGTAAGTGAGAAAAAGTTTTTTTGGTGATACCTTTCATTGAACCAACTGTATAGTGGGAAAGATGCTAGACAAGCTTTCAGGCACAAAGGGCTCTTCTTTACGTCTGGGCCCACATATTAATACCTTGTCAGGTTCTTTGTCCAGGCAGAAATTTAGACTTTTGAATACTGCAGAAATTTCAGACTGAGATAGGGAAGATTGTGATAGGTTAACGATGTTCATACTCTGGTCGGTATTATCCTTGTTGCTGGTTTACTGCCTGGGAGATGGCTCTTATTGTGATATTTGGTTCTAATTTTTTTCTTTCTTGCCGGCTGTCATCAGGATTTTTTGATAGAAGTTTTGGGTCTGCTGCATAGTAACAAAGTATGTCTCAGGTTTATTTCTCTAAGTTCACCAGAGTACAGAAGTATGTCCTGTTTAAACTGATCCCTTTTGGAGCAAGTTAGATAAAAAAAGATGGTGTCTGGAAGCATGTCTAACATCCTATACAGTTCCTTCAATACAACATATCACCAAAAAAACCAAGAAACAAAAAACTT